AACTGGGGCATCTTCACATCCCTATTCCTACATTGTTTAATCACGCGGTGATTTTGATTACTAGTTGGAAACTGATAGCAGAAAGAGTGAACAGAAATATTCCACAATATTTCACAAGCAAACACAATAATTCCATAAAAGATTACATTTCCATAAATATACAAATAAGGGTAAACAGAACTTCAAAGTTTTCTTAAACATAAATCTGTATTTTTCCATTTACTTAAAAATGAAAACAGGACTTTGGCAATAATATAATGTTTTTAATTTTGTTGTGGGAATTTAAATATTAGTCTTTATATTTAAAGTGTTCAACATTTCTGTAAGCGGTACTTATGTTTTGACAATGACGCATGTGACAAAGTCAGCAGCCTGACAATAGCTGTGCTGTGATGAATGAATAAACACAAGAAATCAAAGTGCATTAGAGATACTATTTAATGTGATTAAAGAGACTTCTGTTGTGTATTTGTGAATTAATTTTCTCCCACTTAGGTGAAATATTCCATACTGAGAAACTAAATTGCCTGATCTCAGATCTCAGGGCATGGATAGCGCTCTGGACGGTGAGACTTAAGGCGATTTAAAAATCACTGCTGTCTAGAAAAGCAATATACTGTATGGTCAATGCAAAGTAAAAATGATAGATAGCATTTCTTGAAGACAGGACAGATGTTCAAAACGTGTTCAATTTTGTTGCGGGCTCATGAAATACTGGTACCCTTTTCACATTTTCAGTTTAATATTCTAAAAATATCTTTGCTTTTTCTTTTCAACATTTACCATTTGAGATGGTGTGTGCATTTGAAGATATAATTCATTACCAGGATGAAAAAAAAAAACATTAAGAGGCTCTTAACGTTAATGAAAGGTGCTCTGTAAATGAATGTTTACATCATCCAATTTTTACATCAAAATTAAAATCCTTGAAATGTTGCTGTAGTCTTCAAGAAAGTACCTTCCACATAGTAATTTGGAGAAAAATCTATTATCTGCTATTAAAATTGTAATTTTGTGTTAATGTGTCAGAATTGCTGTAATTACGATTTTTATGCTACATTAAACTCCACATATAACTGGTACTTAGAATGTTACTCAGACAAAAAATGAGAAAGGTCATAGAAAAATGGCTTTTTCTCCATTCAAAGGGGAAAAATTAATGTCTAAAAAGGAGAAAAAAATGAGTATATGTTTTTTCAGCAAGGCAGCCTAATGTTTATTTAATTAACATAATGTAGTCTAGTGAAGCCATAGTTTTTAAATTGTTCAAAACTAATACGAGAGGATGTTTATTTTAAAGACATAATTAACTAAATACAACTTTTATCTACGGATTAAAAAGAATTGTATTGTATAGCATGTAAACATATGTACAGTATAGTAAGTTAAACGTAAAACAGAATAGAAATATCACTGGGAACTGAATATGTGCTTGAGAAAGACAGAAAAGCTAAAAAATCGGATGGCCATTAAATTATTTTTTTTTCTGAAATTATATTTTTAACTTTAGCAAGATTTTAAAAAAAGATGTTCCCTCTGGATTCCAAATGTCAGTCCAATTTGCTTTATGAAATGCGTGTTCATACTGCTCAGCTTCTGCTAAAATGTGCCCTTTACCCTAAACAACTTTAGAAGCAGAAGGTGTTCACAGCGAGACAGCTATTAATGAGTCAGGTGATTTCACCCACAGTGCGACAACTTTGCAGGACAAGTACAGTGAAGTGCAGAAAACAAATGAGAAAAAATTGCTTCCTTTGTGCTATTTTACTGGTGCAGTGCATTGGAAGCAGCCTGGAATGCAACTTGTTCAACAACATGCAAGCATACAAGTAATAATTATTAGGAAGTGTCCAAGGCTTAATGCATTAAATTGCCTGAGGTATGGAGTTCCATTATTGAGAAGTATTTTGCAGGTTGATTGATACTTCTAGAACTTGGCTTTACAATGTCAAGCATTACACTTCCAGAGCATTATTCTAATTGTTCAAAAGAAAGCTCACATGCAAAGTGTTTGCTTCAGTGTTGTTTTTACTTTACATTGGGTTCTCACAACCACTGAACCACACAAATTTAAATGAAAATGTCCATTTTTAATTGCAAACTTTACCTCAGTTTTTTTTACTAATTACATTGCTATTGTGTTTGTCACATTAAAAATCATTTCTGTTTTCAATCAGAAAAATGATCAATCTAGGTTTTTATATATTGATTATATGGCACTATTTTCATGCTCATAAATACAATTAAAGCAATAATCTGCATAAATCTATTAAAAATGACAGAACAGTGTAAATATCAAACTATGTAAACCTTTATTGCGCTCTTGTTGGTGATGAAAATATTACTCTGTACATGTAAACAAAATAATTATTTAATTTTAACCATGGGTGCTTTGTTAATTACGTGAATGGTAAAACATTCCTTAGGTTTCGTGCCTAATGAAAATTTAATAGAGCTGCAGGAGACCAAGTAGTCTATGTCTATGAATTATAGGAATACATTTAAATCAGCTATTGCAATTTCACGGGGTTATGGAGGGAGAAACCATTGAATCTTCTGATTCAAGTTTTTACATGTATAATATTAAAAATGAAGATACAGTATACGACAGCTGTATTGTCCTAATTAGGCTCACCAGTGTGAAATAACCAACTCTGTGTCCAGTGACATGGAATTGTACTGTAAGTCCTGTAAGTCTCCTTAGACATTAATTCCTATAATTCAAAGCAGCTATGTGCTCTTAAAACAAATAAACCCAAAAGGTCTTCCTTGTAAAACATGTATCAATCATAAATAAAATAAGAAATACAAATCAAATCATGAAAAATATTATGATAGGTATGGGTAGTGTGTACACACAAATCTAACAGAATTTCAACATTTACTGAAAGAAGCCTGGATATCATGTCAGTATGACAATAACAGCAGGGCTGCTGGTTCCATATTCCCACAAAAGGGGCAACACTACCACCTGCTGTTATTAAGTCGCATCATCTGGTTGGAAAATGACGTAAAACATGGAAAGCATCTCAGCATCTTAAATTCTATTTGCTGCATCCTATTTGCTTTGTTCGCAATACCAGCCGTTGTTTAAATGTTGTAATAAATACAGATGATAACTATGTGCTCGTTCGTCATTTTGTCAAAATAACCTTTTTTACAGGTTATTTTCTTGGTGGAAATAAGGTGCAGCTATCTCAACCAATAAATGTCATGTATTTCTTTCTGGGGAACATTGTTAATGCTGTTTCCCAGGAATCTTTATTAGTGCTAATGCTGTTTCAAATTATTATCAGTAATATAGATCCTGGTTTACTTTATTAACTAATGAAACTTGCAGATTAGCAAAATAGAAGGATTAGCAAATACTGCACCTACAAAGGCAAGTAAAAAATAAATGTGGCAAATGGTAGTCAATGTAGTAAATAAAAACACATAAAATAGTAAACACTGTACTTAAAGAAGCTACTCATAAAAATGACCAATCTTCCACACAATATGGGGAAGTGAATAATTTAAAACAAGGGTTGCTACACGAATATTCTATAATTCACTCGTACAACCTCACTGAGAATGCTGTGAGCTATTTTGGTCATTACATTACAAAAAATGATATTTCTGTTCTGGAATCAGTCCAGAATAGAATAGCCAGATACATTGCCAGGCTTGTGTCCTATTCTTACAGGTTACAGAAATTAAACCTTTTTAGACTTGAAAAGAAAACGGGACCTGATTATAAGAATTCCACATTCCACACCTTTAAAGCCATCAACAAAGTGATCCCAAAAGACTTCAGAATCGGCAATAAAAATTGACCCAGGATTGGAAACTATGGGCAAGTGCATTTAAAACCAAGAACAGAAGGTGCATTGCTGTACAGGATCTTGAGTTGCAGAAGTGAGGAAAAGTCTACCAACCCAGCTCAAGAAACGAAAGATCCATGGATCCAGATGAGATGCATTTCTTGAATGTGTAGTTTTCTTTCTTGAGTGTGTAGATGCTGGAATAACTGATACATCCGGTATAATTTTTTTAATGAAAATGCCTGGACAGCATGAGCACTCCATTCAAAGCTTCCGATATCATCTTTCGTTTGTCATCTTCAAATCTGCAACTATGTGATACGTTCTTTCAAGATTCTTCAAGATAACATTCAGAAGAGCACAAACTTCAAAATCCAAAGCATCAGTGATTAATACTAAAGGCTTTGCAAGTGGTTACCAAGTTATGTATGTTCTTGTCTCTGCATTAGTAGTTTTGTAAAATACAAGACTGAGCTGCATTTCCTGTACTATATTGGGTATGAAAATGACCAGTTGTAGTGGGGAAACTTTGTCACCTGCTGTTTACAGGGAGTACTGCACAGTAACACAGTAATAATAAAAATAATAATTGCTTACACTTATATAGTGCTTTTCTGGACACTCCACTCAAAGTCCTTTACAGGTAATGGGGACTCCCCTCCACCATCACCAATGTGCAGCATCCACCTGGATGAAGGATGAATCCCCATCTATGAATGAAGCCAATTCACAGATGGGGATTATTAGGATGCCATGATTGATAAGGGCCAATGGGAAATTTGGCCAGGACACCGGGGTTACACCCCTACTCTTTTCAAGAAACGCCCTTGGATTTTTAATGACCACAGAGAGTCAGGACCTCGGTTTTACATCTCATCCGAGGGACGGCGCCTGTTTACAGTATAGTGTCCCCATCAGTAGATGCGATGTTCCACACTACACAAACCATAATGAACAAATAAGCACCACAGCTGTATAAACTCAGTCCAAGCGATTTTTTAAATCCCAGAGTAAAAAAAATTGAATTAACCGACAAAGGATGTTATTTGCAACAGCAACAGTCATTTGAGGTCTTCTCCAGCAACAGGTAAATCAGAGGTCTTATACTCAATTATTCAATTTTTTTATAACATACCCAAGCATTTTCTGAGCTAGACCTGAGAAATTTTGCTTAAGGTTGTTGACAATTTTAAACCATTCACTTCATTAAAAGGTACATTTATTTCTGAAAGACCTTAGAGGCTGGATAGAAGCATTATAATCGTGCTGGTATGCAATAATGCAGTGCTACAGTGCAATAAACCCCAGATAACAACAGACCCTGCATTAAGTGGGATAGTGCTGGGTTAAATGAGGGTTAGTGATTGGGAACACTTCCCTGTAACAGGGAACAGGAGCAGTAATTAAGGTTTTGATTCTGTCATGTGGACTGTCAAACCTTAAAATGCCAACAGTAATACCAGAGAAAGAAAACAGCTTCAATCTGTAATTATACAGTACACCTTAGTGACAATTCACTGAGTTGACACATCCACAATAGGAGCATCATGGTATCCTTGACATCGAGCAGGTTTCCACTTATTATCACCTGAAGCGATGATGCCTACAGATTCAAAAAAGTTCTGAACTATGCCAATCACTTCTTTCCAAATACAAACATAAAATTTGCATATTAAGTCTCTGATATATAAAAGAGGTGTAGTCTTCACAAATATTTTTACCTGTTCTTTTCTTTTAAGAGTTGTGTTAATATTTACAATTTCCAAAAGCATGAAAGGTTACTCTGAATGATCTAAACATTTATCCCAATTTCTCCCAAAAGCCATTCTATTCCATTTAAAAATCCATTTAGTGATTCAGCTTCAGAGTCCTGGACCTGAAATGCAAAAAAGAGAAATTATAAATACACATTCACATTTTGCTTTTCAAAAACAATGTTAATGTTATTTTGACCTTAATTTAAACAACTTATACCAGCTGCTTGCACACCCCCTAAGATTTTATGATTTAACATATTTAGACATATTTGTCCATCACTTAGTAGAAATACAGTACTTACTTTTTCACAGAAAGAAACTCAATACTGGCTTACTTTTAAATAAATAATGACAAAGTAGAGTTTTTGTGTGTTATTTCTCAAATGAAGTTAGTTTTATCCACTGTTAGAACTTAGTGAAGACTAGGTGAAGGTCAAAAACTGTATGTCTAAATATGTTAAACCATAAACTCTTAAGGGGGCTTAATTACTTTTTCACCAAACCAAGGTGATATACCTCATTGTGAATCACAATTCTGACCGGTCTAAAAACAAGTGTTCCAGCAAATGAGTTGGGACTTCAAATCTTCAATTGTGTGTGATATCATGGTTCCACTCCTTGTTCAGGCAATGGAAAACTTTCAAATATTTTTTATTGCAAATGCTATAAAACATACTTTCTCACAGACATAAATATCACATAAACAACAAAGGGGTGAAGAAGTGAACATTTAAATTATGTGTATAAGATAAAGTTCATTCTGTGTCAAACGTAGCACACAAAACACCCCGGGTCCAGAACAAAATCTAGGGCCCAAGAGACAAACTAACAGTACTTAATTTATCAATCATAAGGCAAGTCACTGAGCTTGAGGGGAAAAGCAGTGCTTCTGGGGCTCCTGAGTGGCTCAACCGGATTGAGCTCTGTGATCCAGATCTCACAGCCCTGGGACACAACAAAGCCTGGCCATCTGTGCCTGGGATTCTCCAAGGGGAAGAGAACATTTGGACCAGAGCCACTGGGAATAGGCATCGGATTAGTCATTTGGGGTTCTGTCAAAGAAACAGTGACCCCAACGACTTCACACTTGCAGTAATGTCACCACAGGATGAGCCACTCCTTCAATCAGCAGTTAAGCCCCAATATATCTCAGTACAGCTTGTAGTATGTTAAAAGATTAATGATTGTACTGGTGGAAGGGTTATATGACCCCTTTTTCTCTTTCACATGCCCCTGTGCGGTTAGCTGTGTCATATACTTAAGCCAAGATGTAATGACACACTTGGCGATTCCAAACTGAGTGGAAATATAACAAAAAATAGTTGCTGGTTCTAACCATCCATCCATTTTCTAACCACTCTACTCAATTCAGGGTCACAGTGGAGCTGGAGCCCATCCAGGTAGGCAACAAACAGAAGGCAAGATACAGTACACTCTGGAGGGGATGCCAGTCTGCTGTAGGGCAGACAGACACAAATACACCCACCAGAACCGGTTTTCCCACAAGCCAATTAACCTACCAGTATGTTGTTGGACTGTGGGAGAAAACCTGAGCACCTGGAGGAAACCCATGTGAAGACAGGGAGAGCACATAGACTCCATGCAGATAGCACCTCAGGAACTGAATCTAGAACACATGCACTTTGAAGCAGCAATGCTCACCAGTGTACAGTACCACCCTGCTGCCCATTGCAGATTATCATAATAATGGGAAATTTGGCCAGGATGCCGGGGTTACACCCCTACTCTTTTCGAGAAACGCCCTGGGATTTTTAACAACCACACAGAGTCAGGACCTCAGTTTTACGTTTCATCCAAAGGACGGTGCCTTTTTACAGTAAAATAATAATAATAATTAATAATTGCTTACACTTATATAGCGCTTTTCTGGACACTCCCCTCAAAGCGCTTTACAGGTAATGGGGACTCCCCTCCACCACCACCAACGTGCAGCCCCACCTGGATGTGTCTAGTGTCCCATCATTAAACTGGGGCATTAGGACCCACACTGCCCACAGGGTGAGCACCCCCTACTGGCCCCACTAACACCTCTTCCAGCAGCAACTTTAGTGTTTCCCAGGAGGTCTCCCATCCAGGTACTGGCCAGGTTCTCGCCTGCTGAGCTTCAGCTGGTTGCCAGTTGTGAGTTGTGAGTTGCAGAGTGATAAGGCTGCTGGCCGAATTTAGATTCTAAATTCATGAGATGAGAATTCAGCCTTTCCTTACCAGCCAAGGGTTCGGAAGTTGTTTCAGGTGCAACTGCTCAGCCATGTTTACACAAGGAATTCTCCTGCATCCCTCCCTGGAAATGCAGGACAGCACCAGCAAGGGACGAGTGGACGGCCCCCAGGCCGGGTCAATCATGGCTTGAATTTGGGCCAATTCTTCTTCACGGTCCGCACCTCAAAAGCCAGACAACACCTCAAACTGTGCCCATCAAGGGTCAAAACCCTGAATGAATTCTTTTTGTGTGAGTGTATTGGTGTGCGAAAGGGACACTGCAATTTTTGTGCCCAAGTCAGCATCAGCTCAACTCATCCTGACTAATTAATATATCAGGCTTCCTTTAACCACTTTGATGAATGTTTGCTTGCCTCATATGTCATATACATAATTTACTTCCAATGTGCACAATGTGTTCGTGATTAAACTATTAAAACAGTACCAGGTTCTAATTTTGTAAGAGCTCTGGGAATGTCGTTCTTACCTCCGTTCTCTTCCGCATTGGCCACATAGATGAAACCATTCACAACTCTGCACACCTCCTGGACGTGTGGCATTGCCGTGTACTTTGCTGTGGAACGCTCTGCCTTGCTGTCTGCCTCCCGCAGGAACAGTTTGCTCTGGACGCTGTGCTGTTCAAGCCGAGCCCTCTCCCTTTCTTTCCTAGAGCAACAACATGCAGGTAAGAAAACGGGCACTGCATTCTCAGCACGTTTCCACTGAAACTTTCCCTGAAAGTTAGGGGATACAAAAGAAATACTGACAATAGAATTCTACAAATAGAAACTGCCAGTAACACCAAAGTAAGGTTATGTATATTAAAGTGCTCTAGTTGGCAGCATGGTGATACAGTGGCTAACATTACTGTCTCACAGCCCTGGGGCCCTGAGTTCAATTCTATACTTGGGGTGCTATCTGCGTGGAGTTTATATTTTTATATACAGTATGTCTCCCTGTGTTCACATGAGTTTCCTCTGGGTGCTCCAATTTGTCCCGCAGTCCAAAAACTGGTGGGTAAACTGTCATGTGGAAAATTATGCCCTGGGTGTGTGCATGTCTATCTCCCCTGCAATGGACTGGCATCGTGTCCAGGGCGTTCATTGCCTTGCTCCCACTGCATGCTGGGATAGGCTCCGGCTCCCCCATGATCCAGACGTTGAAAAATCAGAAAATGGATGGATTCTCATGGAACTAGCTCAACTACCAAAGTGAAACTACCAAAAAGACAAATGTATGCAAATCCCTCCCACAACTCAACAGATGATCCTTATAATCTAAGTAATTTCCAAATTTGGATCTCTGTCATTGGGTCTGGCCTGGACCCCCTGGAAGTAGTGGCTGAGAGGAGAATGGTGTTCAAACTATAGGCCATCATGGACAACGTCTCCCATCCCTTCTATGACATGCTTATAGAAATGATGAGCACGTTCAGCAATAGACTTGATCCATCCACGGTGCGACAGGGAGCGCTCCAGGAGGTCATTCTTGCCTTCTGCCATACGACTGTACAACACATACACCTCGTGTCTGAGCAGGGGCAACATTGACAGTGACCTGTTTCTGGACTGAACAGTAAACTGATACATCTGTTCTTTTTCTTTTTCCACGTTTACAACCATTTTTCTGCAATATATGCCAGGGACCTGTGCAATACATTTATATTTATATTTATATTGTGCAATATTACTTTTATGTGTAGTGTCCTGTTCTGGTTTGTTCTTTGTGTGTTCTGGACTGTGAGTAACTATTCTTAGTGCACTTCTCACTGTACTGATTGTATTGTATGGATTGTATTATTATTATTGTATCATTCGTTACACTGTTGCTGTGTTGTCTGTGTTAAGCTGCTGTTGCACTGCAATTTCCCTCACGGGATCAATAAAGTATCTACTGTATCTATTGCACAGAATGTAGATGAGCTTCTCTTTGATCCTATACTGTACACTACAGGCATATTTCTTGCTGTCTATGAAAATTAGCAAGGAGCATGGCTTTGAAAAGATTGTGCAAACAGTAAGCAAATGAAAAAAGTCAAACAGATAGACAGACAAAACCCATGACTGAGTAAACTTACTTTGTTTCCGAGTACAATGTTATAATGTTAAATGTCTGCTGGTTATTAAACCTGAAGCTTATTCCAGATCCAACACCTGCAATATCAAAAATTATAAGAATAAGGGGCTATAACATTAACATTGTGAACCTTTGAAAATAGCACAGTATACAGTTGTATGTAAAAGTTTGGGCATCTGTGGCCAGATTACATGTTTTGTTGATTTTCTAAGTGAACAGAAGTTAACACAACCTCTACAGGGAACAAACTTAAACTTGACATATTTCTGCAAATGTTAATGCACAGTAACTATTTACTGGCTGAATTTCACAGATTGAAAAAAATAAAACAGTAAATGTGGCATGTGCAAACATTTGGGCACCCTATCAGTCAGTACTTAGCAACACCCCATTTGGCAGAAATATCAGTCTCCAAGTTTAAGTTTGTTAGCTGCAGAGGTTTTGTTAACTTCTTTTCACTTAGAAAATCAACAAAATTGATTGTGCCCAAACTTTAAAAAAAACTGTATACTGCCATCAAAAGATATTTTATATATATATACTGTATATTCGGATGGTACACACCATTAATCTGTCTTTGAGGAAAGCCCGCAATAGGTAACACATCTGGAGAGGTCATCATTTTCCGCACGTATGAGACATCCAGTTGCTCCAAGCCGGGGCCAAACATGGCAAAGCAGGGCTCGGAGTTAACCACCAGGGAGTGAAAGAATGATGTTACCGCCCTATATCTCGGTCTGAGAGGTCTTGATCGTCTTCTTGATGCTGGGTAACATCTTAAATACCTGAAGTACATAACAAAGGACACAAAGACTGAGATGTGTTTAATTTTCCTTTAGCATAATATTGATGACTAGCACAGTACTGGTGCAAAAATAATCTGAAGGCTCTACTTACTCTTACAGCATTAATACACAACACACTGCAGTAGTTGTCAAATAACTCAGTGTTGCAGAGATGTGTGCACATTATTTATTTAATTTTCCATTTTTCCTTTGTGGCCTAATACATACTTCCTCATGCCTAGCTGAATTATTTGGGTGATATTGGACAAACCAGTTTTCTACGATTTTAGAATTTCCTTCAATCCTTCATATCTTAATTCACCCCTACGTAAGTGAAGCAGAATATTGAACTGGCATTAAGTAACCCCTGCCTCCGCTGTTGCCTTACAGACTGCCGCACAACAATCAGGATGAAAGCAGGGATGAGTAGACACAAAAACACATTAAAGTGAATTAAGCTGGATCTGTTTTTACAGAAGATAATAATATAAGATGACATGTTTGAACGTTTGTGGTTTTGGAAGTCTAACTCAACTTCAATACGTACTCTGCCATGAAGTCTGGATAACTCTCTGTGCTCTCATGTAAGGGTTTGTGGAGAGTCGCTAAATCTGGCAGGGAGGTACAGTCGATGGAGGACCAGGAAGGGATGTCTCTGAGAAGGAAGTATTTCCACAGGACTGGATCTCGCACGGCAGAGCTCCAGTACTGGCTGGTGCTGCCCAGCTGGCACAGGTCTTGAGGGGTCAGGAAAGACATGACATAAAACTGGATATCCACCTTCAGCAAGAGAAAAGACAGTGAAAACTAGCAAATGATGGAAAAAAAGAGGTTACTTTTTTAGTGTACTACTTTTTCAGCATTAAAGGTATTCTCACTGAAAGCATGTGTTACAGTGAAAGCATTTTTTTAAATCTGAAAATATGTTTTGCCACACGGGGGGCTTGCGCACTGGAGTGTGTCACCCTGATATCTGGGTTAGATAGAGTGAAAATCCATTAGACACTGAGGTGTTGTTAGAAATCACTTTAGGACAGAACCAGTGAGTTTTTCCTCAGTGGGACGTCTGTTTGACAGACAATTTCTTAATCATCTACAGTAGATGACCAACATACTGCATGAACTAGAGAACGTGGAAGAGCCCTTCAACACATCTGACTGGTTTTTGAGTATCTAAATGATCTGAGGATCTCATCCAAACATTTCTTGAAAGAAGCAATGGTCACAGCTTAGAAGAGTTAACTAATTATACCAGAACCCAGGAAACTGGATAATTTAGCAGAGTAGTGTGCCAAATACAGATCCCTATGTAGTGTACTATGTACACAGCACCAGTTTGAACAATCACCTCTTATATGCATCTTACTAAACATTAACAAGGTCTTAATCCAAATACTGGTTATGCATTATACTTAATGCCTGCCAAATGTAACTTACAGTATTAATCTTTTATAACAGGTTTTATCTAAAGCTTTCTGAAATTGGCTTATACCCTGTCATATAATTTGTATCCTTTACTGCTGTTGCTCTTTCAATGATCCCTAAAAAGTTAATCAAGTCCTACATTTTCTAAGGCTGGACTATTGCATAGAAACTGACGACATGTAGGATCCTCTAGATTAGTTCTAATTATTAGGATCTTCCTCTATGATGTGACTGTAGGAATAATGTACCTGTACTCATTCTAATAATGTAATAATCAACCAAGAACATAAAACACTTCTTTGTACCAAAGTTGGCGGGGGTTCTAATAACGTTATCATGCGCCGTTGTTGAATGTTATCTCATTGCGGTTTTCAAGAAACCGCTAGATGAGATCCTCAGATCAATTACCTTTTCAAAATCAAATACACTAGATCGCTACTCGCGTTTGCAAACGTTCTTATGTTCATTGTGTTATATTGTATTGTCTTGTTAAGTATTAACCTTGTTCGTGTCTCTCTTTTGCACATGTAATGTTTTTACTTATTTGTACTGAAGCTACAGTATTAAAAAAATAAAGTAGGCGCATTCCAAGTGGCTTAATCGGTAAAAGACTCTCGCATGATCTGTATGCTCGGGGATTCGAGTCGGATCACTTAAAAACAGTGCAGGTGGTGAGGGACTCGCTTCTCTTCCAGTCAGTGGTGAACCTACGGTAAGGGTTTGTGATTCCTGTCGTCTATAGTGACTCGCAATTGGGAGGTACAGTACAGTATGTGTCAACTTCCTCATTCTCCCGTGGCGTGAAAAACACACAATTTGCTGTTCGGGTGGGCATTACAAAAATAAGACTAGCCATAAAAAAGGCAACAGAAATAACATATACCTTTATTAAAAAGGCAACAAATAAGTATGGGAACTAATGACATTTGGTGTTGTTTTAATACAATAGTATGTTTGTCCTAGGACTTTCAAATATCCGCAGATCTAGAGAGGAACAACAAATCGTAGAGAATCTGAAGTAATGGTGACTGAACACGACCCAGTCCTTATCAGAAAGAGCCTACATTCTTTCTGAAAAGTAAGACTACATTTTGTGTTGTACTGTACATTTCTGTAAAATTAAACATTTTGATCATACAGATTCCAAAACAATCTTTCTGCAGCTTGTGATCTGGGTCTGCCTTAAAATGTACAGGGCCTGGTTTAAAAGAAATCAGTGCATTCTCAATGTCCTCTGGAATAGAATCAATTTACTATACAGTATACTGTATCTAAGAGTTAAACTTCTCCTTATCCGGTAACTTACACTGTAAAATGCAGGTATTATCCCAACTTTCAACACATTATTTTGTTCTTTCATCGCACTGTGCTGTATAACTTTGCAATGAACATTTTGATTTAAAAAGTTGTCCTACCGGTAAACTGTCCAAGTAGCATGTCCTTGTTATTTTTTCTTGATCTGAATTTCCTTCAGTCATTTCATTTTTCGTAGCAATTTGGAAATACCTGTCTCTAAACTTCCTCAAACTGTTAATAACAGCAGATTCCAGACTACTCCATCTCCCTTCAGCCATCGTCGCTGTCAGCGAGTTAACATTGGTTTGACAGGTTAAGCTACAATATAGAGGTCCGTAATTATAGAATATAGTAAAAGTGTAGCTATTTGCACCTTGAAAACGTGCTATCAACCTGAAAATTAATTTAAGTCCAATATCTGCGATTTACTTTAACAAATGTATCACCGCTTTGTGGTCTTCCTCAACAAGAAACGTAAGAAATATCCATGTCAAGATCCAGTTCCACCCAAGCTCAGTAAAATCGCAGATGCTTCCAAAACAGACGCTGTAAGTTCCACGTCTCCCAGAGCATGAGATAATACTAATGCATCGTGGTTATTGTAGTTCTCTGTAAATGGTGCCTGATTCAAATTCAAAGAGCTTTATTGTCATGACCGACGAAATACAGCGTTGACGAACACAATTACAATAAACATTTACAATAACACTCGATCTTATCCATTATTATCGTCTTCGTCCCCTTGATTTTTCCTTCTCCTGGGAATGTGGTGAAGCTGCTTATTATTAACCTACATAATTCCCTGACATTGGTGCCTCCCACCTTCCAGAGAGTTATGGTGAAGGAACAAGTAACTTCATTATCCTCGTCTGTAATCTGCTTCTGTAAGCATCTCATGGCATGGCAAGACTGCCCCACCTGGATTAGGTGGTGGTGCGTATAGTTTCTTGGGGGTGATGCAAAACCTTTTGAATCATCCTTCCAGTCAAGTAAAAATACTTGACTTTTTACACGGGGTGTAAAAATAATAATAATAAAAAAACACTTTTTCCAAGTGGCATGAATATGCTTGAAGTTTTGCTCCTCTTCTTCTGGTCCTGGCGATTTCTATAGCCACTTTCTCTAACCCATGATCTTACAATACACGCTAACAAACCAGCAACATGTAGACACTTTAATGGTTGCCAAAGAAAACTATTTAAAATATGCACCCTTTTTCAAATAATATTTATCGATGTTGATGACGAATATGTGATGGATGTGTTTCATTAATCAGTTCAGAATGGAATTTGGGCATTAAGGAAAACTAAAACAGGCATGATAAGTAGTGACTCTTTTTTATTTCTTCTAATTTAAATTTTAAACTAGTTTTGGCAAGATCTCCTCCATACGATGACCAGATGAGGACTTCCCCACGTGAAACACTCCAGACTCTGGAAAAAAACGTCAGGGCCAAAGTATTTCTTGAATTTATATTGATAATCAAGACAAATATATACATAAACGCAAAACATTTCCTGAAGTCCCTGAAACTCTGCAGTAACACACAGTACAATTAAGCAAAATGGAGACTCAGGATACCAGTAGCCCCACAAACTGTACTAAGTCTACCAACCTTGCTAGAACTTACAAATACCACTAAACTATAACTGCCTGTGAGAACACCCTAACACCTTATATACAGAACAAACCTGTGAAATGTTAAATTTCCTATTTCATTAACAATTAAACAACACAGGTAGGCTACAATATTTTGAAGTGTCTGAACTGCGGCTTTGGCGGGCTCTTGTGGTAGCCTCTCTGTCATTACAGCTCTCAGCAAAGCAAGCCGCCAGTTTCTCCATCCATTCTTTTTCTAACCAGTTTATTCAATTCAGGGTCACGGCGGAAGCGAAGCCTATACAGTACCAGCAAGCAACAGGCGCAAGACAGTATACACCGTGGACGGAAAGCCAGTCCATTGCAGGGTAGATAAACACGCACAGACTCATAGAAGTGCCAATTTTCCCAGAACCCCTTTAACCTGCACAAATGTATTTGGACTGTGGGAGGAAACGAAGCACCCAGAGAAAATCCACATGAACACGGGGAACATACAAACTCCACGCAGGTAGCACCCCAGGGCCACGAGGCAACAATGCTAACCTCCGCACCACTGTGCCACCAGTTTGTTACGTGTAGAATATTTTTTTTGTAAAGACAAGCACTTGTAATTTATGGTAAATAGAAGTGAGGAAAATGTACTACTTGTCTAAAATAAACGTTTTTGCTGAATGCACTCTATCTATAAAAAATTGTTACAGCAAATTGCCAAGTTTTTAAAATGTCAAATGTTGCAAGTCTCTAATGGATTTTGCCAGTGTGGTACACAGCAGGAGCTGTGCACAAGAAGGCTCCTCTCCCACAGTTTCGAGAGCTTGGTATTCAGCCAAGTACTAACTACTGTACACTCTAAGTCCTTAAGACAATCTAGAGGCAGAACATTCAAAGCCTTATACTATATGTGAGCAGGAAAACCTTAAAGTTAACTTTCATAAGAAGTGTAGTTTGCACAGGATGGGAATTATGTGCGTGACATGTTTTAGCAGTGGTGAGCATTGCTGCCTCTCTGTACTTGGGCCTTGGGTTCAGTGCAAGACCTGGGCTGCTGTCTATGTGGAGTTTGCATGTTTTCCCTAAGTTCATGCAGGCTTCCTCCAGGTGCTCTGATTTCCTTCTACACAGTCCAAAAATATACTGCTAGGTTAATTGGTGTCTGGGAAAATGGGAGATGTATGCTTGATGCCAATTATTTTTAACTTGTGCACAGACTGCTGAATTCTGAAAATATAAGATATGCAGATATCTCAGAAGGCATTGCAGTAGGTTAATCAATGAAGAAATGGCAGATATTAATACTTCACCATCTGATAGGCAGAGAAGAAGATAATTCCCATGTCATGTTCCTAATATGAACGTTAATTGAAAAGACAGGGTGAAAGGTAACACCAAGAATTCTAACGTCCACCAAAGATTTGATTTCAGCACCATCAATAAAATACAAGGAAAATGTTCATAACCTCAGTCTTGGGACTGTGCTAACTGCCCTTGACACCTACCTATGTACTGTAGGACGACAGACTAAGGACAGTTTTTTAACACAGGTGTGATAGCTGCAGGCTTTAAACTTCCAAGGACAAAACTAGAATTCAGAGAGAAACTGATGAGGTTAATAAATGAACAGATCTGAGAACCTACCTTAGACGTAGGTGCAAAGAAATAAGGTTCAGGACACAGGTAGGTCATATTTCAGCTATCACCACGGACAGTGTCAACACCAGTATCAGTGGAAAGAAAGAGACATGAACCCATGAAAGCAGAACAGTTGACTGCAAAAGATGAGGCCAGTATTGGCGATCAATATTACATATATTTTAAATATAAAGGTCGAATGTGTTGCTCTGGTCGGTAGAGAGGAATAGCAGATCTTTTGTCAAACATTTTATTGATGGCGGATTAAAATCCACAAGATCTTTCTTCAGATTACATTTTAGAAAATGTATCGGAAGAAAAAATCACAACATCAATTTTATTGTTCTTAGAGAAATCAAATGTAGTCATGGCAGTTTGCCATAATGTTATCCTTGCTGAAGCAAGTGAGTACATATTTACAGTAAACGCCAGGAAATGTAAGTCATCAAAAAATAAAGATTCCTAAAATGGATACATTTATATTTTAGACATAAAAAAAAACAACCAAACCCAAATACATTTTAAAGGATACTAACACTTCTCCATTTAAATTTACACTATGAAAATATAAACTAGTACCCATCACTAGGCAATATACCCTTGTCAAAAAAACTTAATACTCAATAATTGAAACAAACTACCTTTAACACAGCACATACTGTGCATAGAACAATACTGTACATACTGGAAAATGGTAATAAATGTGATTTCATTAAAAAAAAGTTTAAATACAAAGAGTTGCATTTATAGCTTGCTTATTTCTGTCATGCACTCTTAGTCAACAGTCTGAAAAATAAGTGCTTCGTGGGTTCTATTTTTTTTTTACTGCAGGATATTCAAAATTTCCTTTGCATTTTCAGTATTCCAGCCCTGACCCTGGAGTGGCCCCTCACACACTGACAAATATTTATGCAATATTTGCATTCCAATGTCCCTGAACTGTAATGTCTCCTCCTTTCGGTCAGATGTTTCCCCACTGCAGTCTTCATATTTCACTGCCCAAAAGCACATCTCTCCGATGTACATCATGGTCAACAGGTGGGTATCTGAAAAAACACCTGGAAAAGCACAACAAATAAAAAAAAAAACATTATGGATATGTCTGCAGACCACATATTTTATATTTTGGTTTGCCACACCAAAGCTTTAAATAACCTTTCATCCACAGCAGCTTGTCACCAATATATGATTCCAAATAGTGTAAATATCTTGATTACTCAAGTGTTCACCCTCTGAGTCAATACTTTGCAGAAGAGTATTCTGCAGAAATTAAAGCTTTGAGTCTGGGTATGTCTGTTTCAGCCTAGCAAATCTGAATTGTTTTGAGTCTTCCTCGCAGATTTGCTCAAGCTCTGTCAGGATGGATGGGGAACATTGGTGAACCTCAACCTTCAAGCCCTTCCACAAATTCACAGTGAGATACAAGTCTGCGCTTTGGCTCAGTCACTCAAGGGCATTCACCTTCTTGATCTGAGGCCACTCCAGTGTCACTTCAACTGCAAGCTTGGGGTCACTGTCCTGTGTACTCCAAATTTTCTACCCAGTCTAAAGTCTTTTGCTGACTGAAGCCAGTTCCCCTCAATTTCTTGACTAAATTCATTGTTCTCTCCAGCCTGACAACTACCCATTCAGGCTAAAGAGTTCACAGATACATTTTTTCTATATGGTCTCAGGGTCTGCCATGTGCTATTACGTGTTTTTATTTCTTAGGAGTGGGTTTTGTTCCTCTCTGATAGAGGCTAAATCTGTGTAGTGCTGATTGTGGATCTGCACTGGACAGGTTCTCCCATCTCAGCCATAGAACTCCGTCGTTCTGTCAGGGTGGTCACTGGGTTCTAGGTCGCTTCTCTTACTAAGGTCCTTTCTGCCCAGTTGCTCAGTTTGGGAAGATGGCCTGTTCTAATAAGAATCTGGGTGGGTCCATATTCTGGGAACACACTATATGGGTTTTCTTCTTCCCAGATCTATGCCTCCTCACAAATCTATGCCAGAGATGTACAGACAGCTCCTTAGTCTTCATGGTACAGTTTCTACTCTGGCATTCACTGTTAATGGCGGGACGCTGCATAGACAAATGTATTTCTTCAAGTGGGTGAACGCTTATCAAATCAAGATATTTCAGGGTTTTCTTTTGAATTACATGTAGAACATTTCCAGGTCACTCATTATTCTTTGACATTATACAGTAATCTGTGGGCATCAGTGGGGAGTGAAGGCACTTGTTGAAATAACTTTTGTATTTCCTAACTTTGAATACACAGATGCAGCACAGAAACATGCAGGTACCTTCACTTAGTAAGTTTGCTGTTGATGAATCATGAAACACAACTCCATCATTTAGTTTCACGCAGTTTCTCACTTGTAACATCCGCATTAGGTAACGGACACCTTCTTGAAGACACTAAACAAAATAAACATGACACAGCTTTAACAATGCAGTTCTAAGACGCTAAATACAATCCATACTTACTATTTAAAAAACAATGTAAAAATTAGAAAAATGTAACATGTTCTGCACATATGAAAATAATTGTAGAGAAGGAGTTGCTCCAATATTTTGACTGTGATCATGACTACCCTTCCTGTTCTGCAAGGCTAACAAAATTGTCTTTAAACATTTTTATTTTACAATAAATTCCAGTGTAAAATAAACTGGAATTTATGAAAGTCCTTTCATGTACTTACAGTAGGTACCCAAAAAACATGTTTCTAGCACATGTACAGGTAGTGGACAAAAAATGGGACACCAAGTATACTATAAGGAACAATTGCCCCACAGGTACGGCTCACACATTAATTAAGCAAATAATGTTTGCATAAGCACTTACGACAGGATTGTGATATCTGTGCATTTATTCAAAATGCAAAGCAAAACAAGTGTGCAACTGCAGATCAACTGACTGCAACCTGAAGTGCAAGTGAAATCAAACCGCAGTGAAAACACCTCTCGCCACACTTGACAATGCACATTTTCAAGGCAAGTGGTGCATGGAGCACAGGCAATGGTCAATGAATCAATGTCCCCATTCACAGAACATGTGTGGTCGCCTAGTGGTTTGAGGAGCATGACATTGATGATATCCATGTGTCATGACCTTGTCAGTTACAACTGAGCGTTTATGGGACATTCGGGAATTATGCCTGAGGCAACCTTTTCTGCCTCTACCAGTCTCCTGCAAAATTCCAGTCTATGGTAGACTCTAAGCAACAGCACAAACAGGCCTTACTGGCTGCCCCTGTTGGCCCAACACTTTATTAATGACTTCACACTGGTGTTTCCGATTTTTGTTCACTAACTGTAGTAGCAAGAAAAACTCTAAGAAACCAAATATTAGCATAGCATTGCCTTAATGTGGAAACAAGCAAGAATCAGGCCGTATAACATTCATTGCAGCTTGAATGGTCCAGTTATTGATCAAACCATTCCAATAAATATGATTTAAAGAATTATTAAATAACATAACACCAATTGCTTAATCATAAAACATCTCCTCATAATTAGAAGTATTTTTAACCATTTTTAAATTAGTTAAAGACAATCAAGCCAAAATGTAAACTACATCCTTTATTGTGAGTTAAAATGGAAGACTTACAGTCATCGTGTTGACTGACAGAGATTGCTTAATTATTCTTTGCATAAGTTTCATTGTAGCAGCTTAATCAATGACTTGAGGTTTCAGGTTTAAATAAAGATAAGGCAAGTTGTTCTGCTTCAGCTGTAAATCATGCATTGTTTGGGAATTTAGCTAGGCATAATGAAACAACTGACGTAGTTCAATTAGGTACCTGCGTCAGCACGCATAGGTGCCAAGGTACAAGTAAAGGGTCCACAGCCGAAATGTTGTGTTTCTTTTCTTCTCTTTTCAGTATGGAATAAACCTTTACTTGTTCCTCATAATGAAACCCCAATAAAGATCATTTTATTACTTAAGATACCAATACTGTTCTCAAGTATTTTATGATCACTACTAATGCCAACTTACTAAAAGTAAGTCATAGTTACCTTTAGAAATGTTGTTTTGTTTTTTTTTATCCATTGCTTCCGTTGGTGTAGGGTGTGACAGTACATATACAGAAGTGCTCCCCTTCTCCAGTAAAGGCATTCTAGCAACTCTAAACCAAGGACTGACTGAACCTGTGCAGAAAAGGAAAGGCTACACATTTAAAAAATAATCTTTAAGAAAAGGTTAATATTCTGTAATTGTGTTCAACATTTAGAGAACTTAAGAATTTCTATTTGGTAGGGGAGGATGTACTTGGTAAACTGGAGATTGCCGGATTAAAAACAGAAGCTTTTCAAGATTAGCACTCCAACAGACGTGTAAAGGCTCAAGTCAGCTGTGGAACTCTCAGGCTTACATGCCTGCAGTGTTATCAATGAGCATCATACTGACTTTCCTAAGCATTTAAGAGCTCTAGTGTTACCAATGTGTTTACACTAGCAATAAACTCTGAAATAATCCAACAAAAGGACATATTCCAATATAGCCCATACTCCAAATGCTATCAAACAAATTTCAGAACATATCCTTATATATAAGATATGAGTTCAAACAATTTAAGGTCAGGTTGTTTACGAGTAAGTTGTAAATCCAGTAGTTTCTGTTCTCACTGCCTGACCAAAAAACTGACGTATGCATCAAATATAAATATCCCTTCAGTTTTGCAGAGAACTGTTCATAAAGTACAAAATAAAACAAACAGTAAGAAGAAGAAGAAGAGACAGGTTCAATTTACAAATGCCCTTGTTAAAAACAGATTACACCTACAAGAAATGCGGTGCAAGTTTCAAATGTTGTAAAATAAAGAGGTGTCTGATTCTAACATACATCTTGTCCAGGTGCAAATCTTGCTGCAAACACTTCAGGTTCAGTGAGGTCTTGCAAAAGCTGCTGAATTTTATAAGGTGAACAGTCTTCAGGAAATTCTTGATCCACAAGTTTATTTTCTTCATAGAAAGTGATATCTAATATGACCTGTAAAGATAAAGGAAACCAACAGTAATTGAAGCATCAGTTTGTAAAACAAAACATCTCACGAATCCAGTACTCACCTATAAGATTTTGCAACTGAAAATGTCTTCTAAGAACTACTGAAACAAGTGTGTGAGTTCTTTTGATATTGTAAGATGTACATGTCAAGTGGCTTTATACTTGTATTTACTTCCCACTGCAAAAAGACAATCATTCTTACATTCATTTGCATGCTGCTTTAAACAAGCTCCATTGCTTTTCATAAAAGCACAGGAGGCTAATAATTTTCTAATGATCCTTGTTTTAATGAGGTTACTGATTTTTTTTAACTACAGGGACAATTTTATAGCCTCTTCGGCACATACAGTATACAAGAATCAACTGAAATAGGAAAAGATCAGGCCTCAATAATGGACAGGACCTTAAAAACTCACGTCACATATTGTTCTGCAACTGACCTTAAAGGCAGTTAAAATGTCACTGCACTCTTTTGAACCACTCAAATGTAAACTAATGCTTGACCATATTAGTATTTTCAAATGAAGTGTTAGTTTATTCACGGACTTTGACAATATATGCAAAATAGTTTGGAGCATGCTTTCAATTAAGTCCGTTGGACATTCCAGCCTTTTCTGAGCATTTTCATTTGATTAACTGCAATACCTGTGTGTAATCCTGAAGCAGTTTTGGGAGACTGTTACTTTCTCCCCCTTGTCTGTAATAGTTTTTCAACTTGTCTAGTATGGCAGATGCATTCTGTAAATAGTCATCATCTAGGAAAAAATACAGTATATTATTACTTGTTCACGGGAGCATACCTTGTATAAATAAAAGACTATTACGTTCCACTAGTATTACCATCAAAGAACTAAAAACTTAAAAAATGATTACCACATTGAAGTTTACAGTTTCACAGCCCTCTGCATTGACCGCATTTTAGTTAATATAATTACATTTAAAAATCATATAGTAATTGGTCATATTTTACAAGTACCTGAAATCTATTTAAATAAAACCTGTATGGCATCTAAAATATTTGTATCAAATACGGTTTTTAAAAACGTTTGCTGGATGAAATGTATAAAGGTAGTGTGAACAAAACAAGCATGTCAATGAAACTATAACCATGAAAACTGAAACCATGAGGAAGGGACACAATACAGAAAATGTAATGTTATCTGTTATCTTGACACCTGTGTTCAGATTCACAAATACCTAGAGAAACGATACAGAAGGTATTAGGATAACAGTGATTCCATATAATCCGTTTAACTATTACCAGTATTGTCATACATGCTGAGCAGTTTAGTATGACCATTTAAATGAGATTTCATGAAAATTCCCATGACTATTTCTTGATTTAAATTCAAAACAGGTATATGTTTAAAATATAGGATATCTATCATTTGTTCACAATGGGAATTCAGTTAATATAATGAATAATTTACAGTCCAAAACAATTGTTCAGTACACTGGGGTAGGAGGTGAGGTACATTGCATGCAGGTAGGAAAACCATAAAATACCAAAAATAACATGGGAAATCCCAAGTTCCAAGAGGCTCGAAGAAAAACAAAAAAGCTGCTTATGTGGACATCATTTTAATCTCCCAGGTAATATGGAGAAGTAATAAACATGGCAAAGAAAATGTTTCTTTCTTGATGTATGTTTCAAAGGGTGCAATTAAAATTAAGGGATGGTATAATGCAATTGCAATTTGGTTACCACATCGCACCAAACATACTGTTGCTCTAGAATCAGTCTATGGAAGAGCCAGCAGATACACTCTGGGCATCAAAGACATTTCTCACATTCACAGGCTAAAAAAATAATGTTATATACTTTTAAACAGAGAAGACCACGAGAGAATCTGACTCATTCCTCTGTATTCCTCAGAGGGAAGGACTACATTACAATTTGTGCATTAAAGGGACAAATATCCATTGCGTGTCATTAAGAGGAAAATAGTTTTTGTATTAATAATAAAATTCCATTTAATCTGTTAAGAAATACAAGTGCCTTCTCCCAAGAAGAAACACTGTAGAGCATCACAGTAACCGGATAAACGTGCACAGGACAAACGTTATTTCTGCAGTACATGCAGGGTCTTTTGACAATACAAATGAATTTGAAGACACTAAGGAATCTTAGCAACTACGTTTCTCTATTAAAACCCTTGTTTTAAATCCGGACAAGGTTGTCAATTTTCAAAATTCCACCTCGTTCTTTACCGACATACGCCATAGTAATAAGTAACTTTTTCACGCCGAGAGAAAATCAATTTATTGCAAATATTATCACCCACGGCCTTTCCTCGATGAAATACCAAGGTGAAAGTTGCAACCAAATAACACGATAAACGAAACAAAAACGGTGACTGATATTGCAGCTGAAAAGAAAATAATTGCAGGGTTGTTCAGCTGCTGACATAGTTCAAAGAAAACGTCAAGATCAGAATATTTAACTTTTGCGCCAAACGGAAAAACTATCCGAATATATTTATCGCGTAATAAACGCCCATGGGGGAAATCTTAACTTCAGTCGACAAAGCCAAATCGAAGACCTTCACACATGTCGCATTTTACAGATGATGGTTATAATCCTACGCAACGATTTATTTTTTGAAAATAAAGTCCATAACAAAAGCTGAATATCGGCTTGTTAACGACACATCACATCCACACATGCCGTACTTTATCATGTATCAAGTGTACATTACCTTGTTTTTCCAGTCTAAGACTGGAGCACTTGCTGTCCAGCTCAAAAATTCTCCTTTCCAGCTCCAGCCCAGGCCTCCTGCAGCCGTCAGCCATGATGGAAACCAAGTCACGTGAACCAACGGCTGAACACGTGGAACGAATTGGTGTCACGTGACCTTCCGCCGTCCACGCCAGGGTCTGACGTCATTGTAGGAAAAAAAGCAACCTGCCTACTGGAGGCCGAGGTACTACAGTATATACGTGTACAAAATGAGACAATTTTCATTTTCTTTTTTAAGCATTTATAACAACAACGAATACAATACAAACAAGAGTGCATATAACATTTCAAGACAAAAGATTCTTCAGGGGTACATACTGCAAAAATGTAAAAGTTATGAAAAAAGTTTAAACAAATTATATAAAGTCCGCATCGCTTTCATATTTTTACAATTTGAAATAGTCTTCAGATACTCCTTTACATCCATTATAAAATGTTCATACACTTTTCATTTTCTGGGTTTCTGTTTTTCCTGTTATACTCAGAACACACTATTGTAGGGATATTTCCTCTATTGCTTGACATATCTGTCAAAGATCTGCAGTAAAAAAATATCGCTTTTTTAACGAATTGCCCAAAAGCACTTAAAATCTGTAAAGATGTATTTAAATGATAAACAATTTTAATATAGTCATAAAAATACCTTTAAAGTTATTTTAACATCAAGAGACACATGGGGGGCAAAGAATAATGAACATGTAATGTATTTTTAAAACTGAAATTACGTTTTGTTAAGAATTTTTAATAAGGGCAAGGATCAGAAACTACAACAGGAGATATATATTCAGTTTTCTGAAATCCACCAGCAATGATGCTCCACTTCCAAGACATAACACCCTGCAACTCACAACTGGCAACCCACTGAAACCAAGCAGATAAGAGCCTGCTTAGTACCTGGGTGGGAGACCTCCTAGGAAAAACTAAGGTTGCTGCTGGAAGAGGTGTTAGTGGGGCCAGCAGGGGATGCTCACTCTGCGGTCCATGTGGATCCTAATGCCCCAATATAGTGACGGGGACACTATATTGTATACAGGCGCTGTCCTGTGGGTGAGATGTAAAACTGAGGTCCTGACTCTCTGTAGTCATTAAAAATCCCAGGGCAGATTTTTAAAAGAATAGGGGTATAACCGTGGTGTCCTGGCCAAATTTCCCATTGGCCCTTACCAATCATGGCCTCCTAATAATCCCCATCTATGAATTGGCTACATCTCCTCCCCACTGATAGCTGATGTGTGGTGAGCGTTCTAGTGCACCATGGCTGCCGTCGCATCATCCAAGTGGATGCTGCACATTGGTGGTTTACATTACCTGTAAAGCCAGAAAAGCGCTATATAAGTGTAAGCAATTATTATTATATGTGATCACTTGCTCAGGCAATCTCAAACCAATAGCCAATAAATAAAGACAATTGTTTTTATATCACTTTAATGATTGGAATTCAAGTAAACTAAAACTAAAAATAAAAGTGTTTTATTTTTTAGGTTGTTTTTTCCAATAGAGGTTCAGTTATGGATGTGGGAACTTATCCGCCGTGAAATAAATTAAACATTTGTGTCTTGGGGATCATTTTTGGGTAACTCTACATCTCCATTATACTTGGTACAGACTTTCACCAAAACTGGTGAAAGGTTTTTGGAGTAAAGGTTGAACACGATGTATTTCGATGGTGTACTGATTTAATTTTTTACTTAACCTTAAAATCCAAACGCTGTGTCAATACTCTGGCAAGAGCTCTGGAATGAAGTTAAACACGGACTGTTGTATAAACAGTAGAGCTGGGACACTCTGTGGGTTCATGACAGAGTACCTGTCTCTTGCTTTTGTTTGTTTCACAATAAGAAAACATACAGTAGCTTTCAACTGCTATTTTTTGAAGTAGAACACGTTATTTGTTTTGTATGCATATAATTATCATCGACATAAATACGTTATTATTTTTCATTAAATAAAAATCCACGCATCAGTATAATTGTTAATTTATGGTATTTCAGGACAGGTACTGTACCATAACCCTTTACCCTTGTGAGGAGTCAAGCACTGTTCCAGTTGCTTGCTGGAGTATCGGGGCTGCGATGAAGCGCGGTTTCCTCTGTCTGAGGAAAGGCGCCGTGAGCCCACAGCTGCCCGTTGGCGCCTCAGCTGTGAGCGAAACCAGGCAGCGACAGGGCTGTCCTGGTCACGCTAGCGCTTCTAAGACATTAAAATACGTCTCTTATATTGTACCACAGGTGTCCAGTCCTGATGCTAGATATCTGTTGGGTCCACAGATTTTCATTTTGATTTGGCTCCGTAACCACCTAATTCAGCACATGGATTAGTTTAAATGGGTACTGTTACTTAGAAACCTAGAATACATGCAGACAGATTGAGCTCCGATGATTGAGCTCCACATTAAATCCTCTACTTTACGCATGTTTAAAACTTTTAAAACACCTAAATCAAAGGACCTGTTAGGTGCATTAAGTCCCTCTGTTTCTGACAACCTTAGAGTGCTGCATTCAAACATTAGATTTCAACCTGTTTTCACGCCTACTACGTTTTTCATCAAAAAGGAGAAGTTAGTCTCAAAATTATAAAATAGCTGAGCTAAATGAAGACTGAAGAGCACGTAATTAGTCTGGGAATATATATGACGTGTGCAGCAATATTACCCCCCGGGCACCCGGGCAGTTCACGCGCGCTCGGGGCTGTCCGTGGTCAGGTACTCAAAGATTGAAGAAATATTGTGTAAAAAACATAATCTATTCTTTTTCAGTAAAACTATACAACGTTTCTAGCATACAGCGTCCATTATTTCACGGCTTCCTTTATCGCCTGCCTTGTCTTTCATTTGAGATTTTTTACAGTACATTCTCTCACACACTGTGTGAACAAGATTGGCGATTGTAGTTTCCAGAACGTTCCTGGAAGACTGTCACTATTAGAAAGTACAAGGACGTATTTTACTTCTTTCGATCTGCAGTTTTTCTTGTTTTTTTTAATTAAAAAAATCTTTCGATCAGACGAGGATATCTCGCATATGCTGAATAGAGAACAAGTCAGCCTATAGGTAAAACTTAGGTGCGCAGAAATGATGTTTGTACGTATACTTGATGTAATAAAAAGACACCCGCTGTGATTCAGATACAGCTGTCTATTCCCATGACTAGCACATGATAAAATATGATACGTCTCTGAGCTCCATTCAACATTATGTCGGATATGTTCACTTAATGCTTGCAAAAGCGGGGATCAGAAAAACAATTAGCTAGTTCAGATTAGCACTTATAAAATTACAATAATTTGGAACCACAACTGAGACAACAGCGTCCAATCGTCATTATTATTATTTACAGTTCAGGACAGTTGTGACTGTAAGAGGAACAAAGACTCCTAATGTTGATTTTCAAGACGACCTTCAAATATTCAGACACCTGAAAAATGCAAAATACATACAGGTAGCAAGCATACAACTAACTGGTTCTTTAGTCCGTTGTTAATTCTTATAAATCAATTTAAATATCTTAAAAAAGAGTGAAAAAAATCATTTTTCTCGATTGTTACTCGCTTCTGGGTGCGAGCGTGCAGGCAGTGAAACGGTTAAATTATAATGAGCTTGACGAGCCCCCATCACTCCCTCCTTCGGCCGGCCTTTTCTGTTTTATGTCATCTGCTACTAAGAGCTGATCACGATTCACGCACCAGCTCAACACATCAATAGCAAAATTGAAAATCGGCACACTTGCAAAGATGGCGGCTTTCAAAGCGTTATTTAGAGCGGAAAAAGTATTCTACAAAAATTTGTTAGCAGTCTCCAATACTAACCTTAGGGCAGCCACGAATGCACTGAGCAAGGTCTGTACTGGAATTAAATATCTGCATTTATGCTGTTTGTATTTATTGCTGCTACGACATATCAGAGCTGTTGAGTACATCCTTTTTTGTCAGACGTATAATTGTTCATGTTTTATTTCCTTGCTAGAAAATGTCACTAGCATATTGCATGTGATTTTCATGTCTGTTTTATTCTGGGGCATTGTGTGATGGACTTGTCTGCTTTTGAAGTTAGCTGTCACTTTGCTAGTGTCCGCCGGTCCGTGTCTTTGTTCTTTGAGGCCGCCGATGACTGTCGTTTCATTTATAATAGATTTAACTTGTGATTAAAAGAAATCCCATTGCCCTATCTATAAATGCAGGTGTATGCTCTGTTCTTGGATGTTGTAAGCAGAGAAAGTGGTAACCATGATACTGAAGACTTAGTGTCAGGTAAACAATGGCTCATGAGCGACCTTGGAAGAAAGGTGGCAAGGATTCTGTCATTATTATTATTATTATTATTATTTTATTAAACAAGTACATCAGGAAATGACAATAGAAAAAAATACATAATAATATAATAAGGTAAAAACAAGGATGAATGAGTTTTATTTGCAGACTTATTTATTGCATTAAACTATTATGTATTGTACAATGTTCTCTTCCAGTCTGGAAGTATTTCACTTTGCAGACTAAAGAGCTGAAGTGCAGGGTTGTGCAAGAAATCTGTTCTGTATACTTTAACTGCCTCTGTATTTAAGTGTAAAGGATAGAGCATGTGCACATCTTTGCATTATATTTAGCGGCTAATTTAAAGCTAAATGAGACTAAAATATTATCCAGATCTTTATTCTGTTAGAGAATTCCCATTTACCTGCATATGAGCAAGGCAAGATTGTGTCATTTTGTGAAAGTTGTTAGTTTCTTTGCAGAGTATCACAACGCTGCCTGTGGGCAGGGCCTGAGTTTAACCTTGTGCAGAGCCAGTTGGTTGATGTGGCAAGTCACTGGTATTCCTACAAGTGTGACATTGTGGCAGGGCTCCAGGTTTAGAATGGGGATTGACAGATCTCCAGCTACTTTTGTCCTGTCTGATATGCCTTGATTGCATATAATAATAATAAAAAAATAATTTCTTATGCTTATATAGCGCTTTTCTAGACACTCCACTCAAAGTGCTTTACAGTAAATGAGGACTCCCCTTCACCACTACCAATGTGCAGCATTCACCTGCATGATGTTACATGGTCATCTTGTTTGGGTGAAATCCATTTTTTGGCAGGAAGAAACTCAGTCTGCCATTTTCAGCAGTCTGATCCCCATTCCACATGCAGTTTCTGGGTGAATGATTTTGACCTAGAAATAAGCCATTGTGTTAGCAATGATTGTGGACACTTTATTTTACAATAAAAGGTTGAAATCAGTCAATTTTCATCATGTCTTTGTCCATACATTGTGCTTTTTGAACAAAGGTGTGGTTGTACTTCTGACCCCAGAGAGGAGCAGTTGAAAATACAGTATACTGTACAACAAGTGCTTTGCTTTCTTTTTTATTGCTCAGATTTGTGAATCATAAAAGCTGTAATGATGACCTGTGATGCCAGAGGGAACAAAAAAAATCAACATAATCTTATTTCTTTAATAACATTTCTTCTCAAGGGGTCAGCGGTATCTTCTGTCCAAAAGCCAATGTTGAAAAGGAGTGAGAAGTGAGGATTCAGTTTTTGTTTTAAGTTTTAGAAAAAGGATAGCACTGCAAGTGGGGTATTGTACTGTACTTCAATATCTGTTGAGACATGCTGCAGTCTGATAGTTTTCAGATCTGGATTGAAAATCTGCGAACTATGAACCTGTTCATAGTTCATATTAACATCTTTAGTAATATTGGTAATTTAAGTGGGGATAAATGCATTGTAAATTAAAGATAAAACTTGATTTCAATCCATGCTGACTAATTTACTATCACAACTTGGACAAATTGTTTAATTATATTTTGGTCAACATAGAATTTTCTGTCATATAAATTATTTTCAGTGTATTTATAGCAGTGTACATAAATCTGGTGATATAGGGACTGTCAATGTTAAGGTTTTTCTAAAACAACATTTTAGTCAAGTTTCCCTTTCAAATTCTGATTCAGGTTGTCACCTGCACACAAACACCACGTGTCCAGAGCAAAGTGAAAGCAATTGTTCAGGTACTGGCAGGATCTGGGTGTTCAGACGCTGGAGCGATCTGGATCGGAGAAACCCACACTACGGAAAAGAATTTGGAAGGACTTTTTAACAGACAGATATTTTCCAGAAGGCTTCATTCACATTAGTGCAGAAGATATTATTAGCTGCAGTGGATGAAGTTTAATGGCTGCTTTTCCATGAGCATGAGGAATGTGATCCTGGCAGGTTTCCCAGCCTCTTACAAGCAAGGCCTTCTTTCAGTGAAACACAGGTTCCTTTAGCCGTATAGAGTTAACATGATCCTGTCTGTTTAATTAGAGTGTGGCAAACTTTTCTTCCCTCTTACAGCCATTATTGCATTATTATGATGTTGAAGTGAATGTATGGGGGATCAGAATAACTACATTCTGTTTATATATAGTGTTCAGTTTTGCTTTTTCGAAATTGGCAAAGGTCTGCACGTCTTTGCATGACCTTTTCAAGGCTTCACTTTAATGTCTTCAAAACAACGTTGGAGGATAAACGAATATCATAACATTGATGAACTGATCAAACGGTGTGTAGAATGAAGAAAGATTATTTGACTTGTAGAGCACATTAGCACCTACCCAGATATGAAGTTGACACTAGATTGTAAATCCCTGTTTTTATGTGCTTTCCATGCACATCTATGCTCATGGTATAAAGATCACTATCAATATTATACTACAATGCATTTTACTGATATGGAGTACTGTGCGCAGAGCTAATTTACACCCCCTACAACAACATTTACAGTAACATCAATCCCTCAATAATAAGAAAATCAAACTGCAAAATTCACTATAATAAGCTAATAAGTTATAGGCCAAATCATGACATAGAATTAACTTCATTTAAAATAAAATAGTCTGACACTGAATGAAAACAATATTTACCCTCCTGAATTTTATTAACCTTACTATAATACAAAGTGCAATAAGAATGAAAACAGTTAAACCTGCACGTCTACAATTACGAAGTGAAAAAAAAATGCTATTGTATGCATTGTGTGGTGTATTGTCATTATTACCAATATGTTTTTATATATGTCATATGTCATCTTTATCTTCTATTATCTCTTCTTCAGCAATAGACCAGTTCGGGAGATGTGCTGTTTAGCTAATCAAAAACTGTGTTATCAGGTTTTGCCACACCTTGGGGTTGCTTTTTGAGGAATGAGATGCCCAGATCAAATCAGTGTCTGAAATGTAGGGTACAATCTTTTCCCTGAGCATTTGCCTAGCTACCTAATCACCTAAGACATTTAGGAGCATCTATTAAAGTATTTTGAGGTAGGAAATGTAGGCCTGGGTTATTGCAAAGTACGATATTCCATAGCTGGAGAGCAGGAGAGGTGGTTAGCATTGCTGCTTCACAATGCTGGGGCCCTTGGTTCAACCCTGGACCTGGAGTACTGTCTGTGTGGAGTTTGCATGTTCTCCTGTGGCCACGTGGGTTTTCCTCTAGGTGCCCTGGTTTCCTCCCACAATCCAAAGACATACTGGTAGATTAATTGCTTCTGGGAAAGTTGACCCTAGGTATGAGTACGTATGGTATGTCTGTTTCTGCCCTGCAATGGACTGGCATCCCTGTTAGAGGTGTACCCTGCCTTTGACCCATTGCTTGCTGGGATAGTCTGTGGCTCCCCCGTGACCTTCAGTTGGAAGAAGTGATTAGAAAATACATATCTTATTGCTCATATAAATCTTTAAACATTTCTAATGCATTTTTATTTTTCTTACATAGCTCAATACCTAGCTTTATTGTAGCACTGTGCTCTATAAGATGTTCAACAGTGTCAGCCATTCAGACATTCTCTCCTTATTGTATTCAGTGATAAAACAATGGGCTCCACATGTAGCTGAATGCAGATGAATGACCTCTATTACAGGTACATACCTGCAGGGAAACTTTGTCAATGCAATGACCTGCTCAGAGACACAATCTATTGAAGTATAGTACCTTGCTGAAGAAAAAGTTAGCTCCCACTATCCTTACATCATTTCAGAGATGGAACTGTATGATTCCTTCTCCTCCTGTTCCTAGATAAGCATGTGTTTAATACGGTCTGGTTATACTTGTGCCATTTTCTCTGTCTGGCTCTGTGATGTCAAGCTTAACCTGTGACTTATTTGATGATTTGCTACTCTGAGCTCAGCCGGTCCCTTTATTGGGGAGAAGCTGTTCAAATAGTAAATATTCTTTTTTTTATTATTCCAGAGCTGTGGCTGCTATTTTTCAACATCCAGCAGTAGGAAAGCAAAATTCTATGAAGATGCAACAGAAGCAATTAAAGATATTCCAAATGGGGCCACAGTGCTTGTTGGAGGTGAGAAAGCAATAAGACTTTTCTAAATAAGGGTATATTCTTTTACCTTAAATCTTTGTACTTTTTGTTGTATTTTTGTGTATTTGTATTGTTTTTTTAACCAAATCATTATATTAGTATGATTGACATCTTTGAGAGTATACCTTTGATCCTATCTAATTCAATATTTTTTCAGTTATTAATATTAGTGAAACATTCACTGCTGAATCAATTTCATGGCTAGAAGCTGTGCAAAGCTACTTTTTAATTAATTGAACCAGTAGTCTACATTTAAAGACTAATGGCTTAGCTGGTTTTGATATTTGCTGACAGCAGCTCTTTCAGCTTTGCTCCTGGGTGACTGGAAAAAGTCCAATTATGACCCTCTATAACTCACTTCCAGGTTATTTTTCTTTGCAAAACAAAGCACAGATTTGGACAGCCATATTTGGCTAACAAATTGATTTGATCTTTTGATCTTGACAAAATAGAACATTTGTACTAATTTCTTCAGTATTTTATATACATTTTAATATATATATTATTTTCTTTGTAGTGCATCATATTCCACTTTCTCTACGCTGCAACACTGCTTGAGTACAAAGTTAAAATATTTCTGTAATGTGTGTAATGATCCAGATATGTTTCGCTCTTTGTGTTAGTGGAGTAAGATTCTCTATCGTTTATTGGAGTTCAGTTTTGCAAAATATGACTGACTGAGATCTTGAGTTGTGCACCAGATAGACGATTTATTTTTTTAACATAATCTCCCATTTCCTCCTCATTATTTGTTTAATTCTAATTTTCAGGATTTGGTTTGTGTGGCATCCCAGAGAGCTTAATAAAAGGTTTACTGAAGACTGGAGTAAAAGGCCTGACAGCTGTCAGTAACAATGCTGGGTAAGGACCAGAGAGATCATTATTGGCTGTCAGCAAAAAAGAGTAAAATGTTTCAGTTCATTATATCCCTTGATGTGACATTTGCTTATCTTTTGTGTTTAAATGCCAAAGTGTTGGAGGGAGGAATGAAGAGCAATATTCTAAGACATGACCTTTATGCGGGCTATATAACTCCATCTGAGGAAAGAGGTGATATGCTTGTAAAATAACTGTAGCAATCAATAAAAATGTTTGAAGACATGCATACGTATTATAAATAGTAATCTATGAAAGTTAAATTTCCCTGGTATTCTGTCTTCTGCATTAGCTTCTTACAAAGAGCCCAGAACGCGCTATAGGAATGCTTAAATGCAGCACTGTGAATCATCCTTGGGTTTTTACATTGGAAAACAAAATTGCCATAAAGACTAATGATTGGACTGTAGGAAGATATATTGTACATGGAAGGGATCTGGGTGTTAATGTAGTTTCTTCTGTTCTATATATAATATAAGAAGCGAATAGAATGGGTATATAGCAAATAGTGTGGAATTCAGATAAAGGGGAGTTCTTCCTAAGAATTATAATGCTGTTGTTTAGATATCAGTTAAAATACTGTGCTCCAGTTTGGTCACCATAGCTTATTAAACATAATACGTGCTTAGAAAGTGTTCCAAGCCTAGTAAAAACAACTGCAACTTCATATGTTATTAGTTTGTAAAGGGCGAGACTAATTAAATCAATAGTTTTTTTAAAATATACTGAGATGTTACAAACATAAAATATTATTGTTTCTTTTTAGTTGACTTTTCTTTTTCAATTGACTATTTACAGTCTTCATTCTCCTTTTTGCATAATTATTTTTACATACTACAAGTTACGGGTTTTTTGAGTATTTGAAAATGAAAGGGGCATCTATTGTGTGTCCTGGTAAAATGCCTTTATCTTGCAACATCAATAAAGTAAAGTAAATCCACCCACTGTGTACAGCATGTCTTATCCCCAACGTTTTCTGTCTTTGTTCTGGTGCTTTGACCCAGATAGACCACAATAGCTGAGAGGCCACTCTCTCTTAAGACAATACAATTTAGGTTATGCTGTGTTTTTTTACAATAGGATACAACAGGACTTTATTTTCTTTACATTGGTATTGGATAAGGTATTGTGTTGTATCAAAGATCAGATGAATACTGCTGATGGAGGAAGTACTTTTTACATACATTTAAATAAATACAATAAACAAAAGTATATAGTATGTAAATTATAACCCCCAACCCACACATTTTCTCTTTTTTCCTAATTTGTCCTGCTGTGGGATTTCAGGCATTGTTTAGTCATATTTCTAGAGAAATGTAGGTTTAGTGGTGTAAAAATAGGAAAAGGCTGCAGTAAACTCCTACAGGCTTCATGCATTTTTTTCTGAACATTGGACAAATTTCATCTCCCTCTGCTTAGAAAGCAAACTGTCCTGGGTTGTAATTTGACGCTTAGACTTCTTTTTATAGTTCTGTTACGTTGGCAGAGGTCCTGTTTGGCTCTCTTGGCTTCCTAGGAATAGCGGTCTTAATTACACTCTGCTGAAATCTGCATGCCCTCATGGTTCAAACAATTAATGTCAATTAAAATGAAGGAGAAAAGGAAATTGTTTTTAAAGGATGCCGTTGAAAAGGGAACAAGAATGCAATATGAGCTCCAGTCGGGTCCAACTTTAGAACAAAATGAAACTCAAAGCCTGGGAGCAGTTTAAGCCCCATTTCTAATACATAAAGAGAGATATTCACAGTTTGGTATTAGGTTCACATCGAGCCAAAACTGACCTGAAAGAAATTAAGATGGAATGTCAGAGGCAATATTGTAATTCTGTGCATAGTACGGCCCAAGAATTTAGAACTACTGAATGATATCAGAATGACCTGGGTGTGGATTTAATGGCTTACAGTACATTTCATATGTGGCTTGCCAAATGTTTTGAAATTCCTGAAGTGAGGATTGTTTTTAATAATACACTATGATGAAGAGGTCTGTCCACGTCTACAACAGATGTAGTATGAATCATACATTGGAAATTATATCTCTTTTTAAACTAGATTTAAAATAGAGCAGTTCCTTTCTGTGCATGTCAGACATTGGAAGGCATAAATGGTGTGTTTGGGGTGAAAATTATGCAGTGTCACATGCTTTGGCAGCTGTTGGCAATATTGTTCACCTCAGTGATAAGTTTGTAGCAGCCAATGGCATCTATAATGCTGTGCGGCATTCTATTGTAAACCAGCATGAAGCCAAAGAACACCCCTTCTGTCAGTTACAATTCATGAACTTAGTACACAACAGTGGAGATTCGAGCCTCTGAAAAGCAAAAATCACTGTTTGACTCCTTCAGTTACAATGTTATATTCTTTTTTTACAGAATGTTGAGTTTGTATTTGCTTTTTTTAGTTGTTATGTTTATTGTGCAAAACCTTTGTGTGGAAACTTCAGTTAAAGAGAAATTGTTTCTAGAGCAGTACAAAGTTATAGTTAATGAGTTCAGGTTGTATGAAGATGTTTTGACACTAATGCATCACCATATGGAGGACTAAATTAATCAACTTGGAAAAATAGGTTTCTGTGTAAACAAGAAAGGTGGTTTATCAATAGAGTTCCTAAGTGTTAAAGAGTCTGGTGTCATAGTCCTTGCCAGTTTCTTAAGCCATGTGAAAACCAACTGTCAATGTTGTCGAAATGATATTCCTAAGGTTTTTGATATTCCTAGGGACAATAATTTTACTCATTTAACACTAATTTAGTAGTAATACAAGGTATCAGAACTTACTGTATGTCTATGTCCTCAGCTCCACTGGAGTATAAATCCATGCTTAAAAGTGTTTTAATTTTAAACAGTAGCATATTAGGAAGTGGGGTAAGGGTTAGGGTTTGTCTTAGGCTTCAATGAACGTTACAGTAAGGTTTATATGACATGACATATGTTTTTTTGTGATTTACGTTCAACTTTTATGTCAGGCCAGAGTTGCAGATGGAGTTTGCTTTAGAATTAAGCATTACCAACAGCTACTATTCAAGTCCAATTGATGTAAAACTTTCAAGCTAAGCCTAATTCATACCTCACACCATATTAAGCCCTATGAAATGCGGCTGTTACCCTGAATGAAATCAATGTTTTATTGTGTATCTAACCCTAAAAAAAGAACTATTCTCAACAGTAGACTTTGGTTCTAGGTATTAGTACCAATCCAAATGGCACCTTGCCATAATACTAGAAAAGTAATCACAATTTTAAACAGTCAAACATATCTACTTCCTCCTGTTCCACCAGATATTAAGTCGACCTGCTTAATAATACAAGCAAGATAAAATATTAGTGATGGTCTCATTTATTTAGAAGAACTATAATTGTGAGGCAGGCTTCAGACGTTGAAAGTTATATCTGTAGACACGCAAACACTGTGAAACCATTATTTGTAAGCAGTCAAAGTTCAATAAAAATGACTTCATCATCACCAAATTTAACATCCAAAGCACACATGACCCCTGGTGCACTAAACACACATTGTGACACACAGCTGCAGACACTACATTTTTCACCTTTACTCTACTATCCTCAATTCTTCAAAAAAAGTTTTCAGTTTTAGTAAAAGCAGAGAAGGATATTTTTATTTGTTCTGTGGTTTTAAGTGATGAATGCAGAATATAAGTAGGTGGGTCATTTCATAACAGACCATGTCTTTCCAAATAAAGTTCTGTCTCGTGGTTTACTTAGGATCAGTGCCTGTAGTGTTTTCTGTTGTTAGCTTAATTACACTGCATCAAAGTTTTAACATTTACCTCCACTTTGCTAAGGCTTGTTTTGGTGTAATTAACCTCAAGGTACTTATTAACATTTCTGTGATTCACAAACTCATAAAATTATAATTCTCAAAAAAATAGTACGTCTGAAAAAAAATCTCAAGAATAAACTCTTCCAAACTCAAGAAGAAAAAGCTTATTTATTTATTTGTGTCACAAATATATTTTATTTTTTATTCAAAATGAATGAAATTATGGTTGCTATGGTAGATTTTTCTAATTAAAACAACTAAAAACAGTTGTAAAGACAGGTGATGTTTCTTTAAAATGTGAGTCTGTGGTAATATGGTTAAATGTAACTGTCGTGACTATGCTGAAAAACCGAGGTAATTCAAGGTAAATCCCTGAAAACAAAAAACAGTTTTTTGGGGGAAACAATGGGTTTGCTTACTGTGATAAAACAAGAAATGTTAAGAACAAATAGAAGAAAGCAGATAGTCATATGCTTTGCGCCAGGGGAAATATTGCTGTATAAGTAGGCTAATTGATGTTAAAATGTGCTGTGGCTTGAAGGACAGATATACAGGACATTTTTTTTCCCACTGATAAGAATTGCAACGTATGTTTTATTTGTTTATTATTGCATGATGATATTTTAACATTTTGCAAGTAAATTGCTGGAAATGAAGTTTAATTCAGCACAATATGAGGCACATTTAACTAGCAGGTTTGAATGACAAAAATTACATAACATGAATTACATCTTTTTGTGTTAAGTTTTGTACAAAGTGGGAAATCTACCACGTTGCTTGTAAAAGAATTCAGAATTTGCTTAAAATCAGCTCATGGCTTTTCACACTGTACTGATTTTCCACCTACCTCTGATGATCTTCCTCTAGTTTTAACAAAGGTGAAAATACTGTAAAGTTAAATTGTAATCTGAGATTGTTTTAAAACATAACCTACATTAGATAATGATTGATAGTAGGAATGATTTCTTACATAGGGCTCAGCATATGTAAACCTTGCACTTTTTATGTTGAAGCAAATAAGACACCGATAAGTAGAAAACTAAACCACTTTGTAACAGTGACTACTGAAAACTTATTTTGTCTGGAGAACTCAGTTTTAAACTATAGGCTTTGCAACCCTTTGTCCTTGAGCACCACAATAGACATTTTCTTAATGAGTACCACAACAGATCATCTGATTCATGCGGCCGTTAAAACCACAAGCACAAAAATGCAACCAGTTCCCAGAACTCTTCTCAATGTTTGTTTTTTCTTTATTAAGGTCAATAGATAATGTTTGAAATGTGCCATCCAAACCTGTATATATATTTTAGTTCCTTTCTTTCATTGAAATAGTATACTCTCATGACACACAAATAAAAGAAAAAATGCAATGTTCCTTTAAATTTAGCATCTAAATAAAATGTGTTACATTTTTAATTTGCTTATTTAAAATGTGGGACTTCAGTGGAAAAAAATATTGTATATTCCTGAAGGGATAATATATAATTTTTCAAATATGAGAGTTTTGAGTATGGTCATACCTTAGCAACAGCATTGTTTACTCGATATGAAATGAAAATGATGCTGGTTTGTTTCCACTTGAACTTGGTAGACCTGCTTAATGACTTATTTTTAGATCCTTTCACTCAGATGAGCCCGACAACGTCTTGCATTGAAGTGGCATGGTACTCTGTGTGAATTGCTTACTAGGGGCGTCGCTGTGTAGTGTCAGTGCTCTGAGCCCCTTCAGGTATCACAAGTGACCATGTGACTGGCTGATTCTGAATATAGTAGGTGTGGTTTGAAGAGCATCCCACATTAGCCCATACATGCTCATTTCTTTCTAAACTTAAATGTGCGAAAGCAACAGTGCAATGGTAGGATTAATCAATAATGGAGTTGACAAGAAGTGCAAGAGTAATACATGGTGCATAGATTGTAGCAAATAATTGGTTCTGCAAGTGATGGCATGCGTTTTACCAAAACCATAACAAGAGCTCTAAATATAATACAGAGTAAGAGTACCTCTGTCCCCCTGAATGGAACATAATGGCTCAGTAACAACATAAGAACATAAAAGGCCTGTTTTGCTCACTTGATTGTTTACTATCTAAGTGATGCTAAAATTCAGCCTTGATTGTTTACTATCTACAGTAAGTGATGCTAAAATTCAGCCCGGATGCTTCTTAAAGGATCCCAGAGTTTGAGCCTTTCCCACCTGCAGAGGAAGCTTGACCCAAACCCCCCAGCTCTTTGTGTAAAAAAGGTTTACTTATTGTCCATTCTAATTGGATTCTGCCTTGATTTCCAGATCTGACGCAACATGCTCTTTTTTCTCTTTTTCATCTGTTTCCCCTACGATTTTATACATTTGGATCAAATCTCTCAGTCTTTGCATGTGACAGTCCCCTGACACCAGGAGACACTTGCTGATTAAACTCATCCTATGGGGACCGAAGCTGAACACAATAGTCTGAATGAGGTCTTACCTACTGAGTTAAATTCCAAATATTTTGCCATTTACCTAAGCATACTGTTTGCTTTACTGCTTCCCCACATTCTCTTTGAAGAGGAGTTTGATGGATTTACATAAAAACTCAAATCTCTTCATGTGTAGATTCACACAACTCAGAACTACCAGAGTGATATTCATGGTGTATGTTTCAGTTTCCTTTTTACACTTGTCACGGGTTACACTTGTAAAGGGTTTTAGACAAATGAGAACAATGAAAGGTAAATTTGCAGAAGTGAAAAGCTGATAGTGTTTTTTTATAACTCTGAAGGGGTATATAGCCTCTTTCACATAGATGTGCTCAAAGTCTGTTCATTTTCTTTCATAGTTTTATAGCTTTGATCAACTCACTGTACTTAAATGTATGGGCAGCATAGTGACACAGTTTTGGGACCCTGGGTTCAATTCCTTACCTGGGGTCCTTTCTACATTTGTATGTTCTCCCCATCTTTGTGTGGGTTTCCTCCAGGTGCTCCAGTTTCCTCCCACTGTCCAAAATTAATACTGACAGATTAATAGGCTTCTGGGAAAACTGGCCCAGATGTACAGTATTTGTGTGTGTCTGTGTTCTGTGTTTGGGTCTGGCTGGCCTGTGACAGACTGGTGTCCTGTTGCTTTCTGGGATAGACTTCGGCTCCCCCATTACCCTGAATTGAACTTGAACTTGAACTTTATTGCCATATGTAACCGGTACTGGTACAATGGAATTCTTACTTACAGAAAGTCTCTCGATTGTATAACAAGTGTAAAAAACAAAACAAAGTGCAAACAGTGCATCAAGACAATATACAAACAAACAGTAGACAATGTACAAGTAAACATGTAGACAGTTTGAATGTAAACAATACAGACGTGTAAACAATGACTGGAGATGTGCAATAGATAAGAAATCATAATGAGGTAG